CAACACATTGGGTACCAGAGGCTCTCTAAAGCACGTCGTATATAATGAAGGTTTCTCAAGCCAGAGGGGTGGCTGGTTCGAATCCTGCCAGGGAGAACATTTTTCTTTCATAAGATTTCACATAAAATTTTCAGATCGGTAGACGAAAATAAATAAATATACTATTCAATAAATAAGTGGAACATCTACTAAAATATGGGCATCCACTAAAAATAATGTTGGATTAAAAAATAAAAATCAATCATTCTATATATATATATATATATATATATATATATATAGTTATGATAATATGTTAATCTGTATTGAATTTCGATGAGGATATAGATCCAGTGAGAGCTCTATGCCTAAGGACACAGCAAAATTATTATTAATTAAAGAATATCAAACACTTAAAATCCTATACGTAATAATTTTTATTTCATTTGGGCCTTAAAAACTGCAGCTCTCAATCATTAGGACCTACACACAAATCCTGAAAATTTTGTTTGTAAGTCTTCAAGATTGAGAGCTGCTGTCTTTAGAACCCAAATGAAATAAAAATTATTATATGTATGGGATTTTAAGTTATAATGTTTGATATTAATAATTTAATTAGTACTATATATATACATATATATATATATATAATAAACATATATATATATATACATACATATATATATATGTATATATATATATATATATATATATATACATACATATATATATATATATATATATATATATATATATATATATATATATATATATATATATATACATATATATATATATATATATATATATATATATATATATATATATATATATATATATATATATATATATATATATATATATACAAATTTTTTTAATACGACACATTTTTTAATACGACACATTTTGATTAAAATTAAAATCCATCCATTCTTTAGAAATTACCTTCTTTACGTTTCAGATATGAAACTGAACGGACATGCCATTTTGAGAATATCTAAACGAATGAGTGTGATTTAAAGGCAAATAGCACCTTGTGAATCTTTTCATAGCCGAACGGTTAAAACACGACGGATCAGATGTATTTTCTCCTGCAAAGGGAAACGCCGGTTCTAGTTCTGCCGAGGACGGGTTCACATCTTATTTAATGAGTTTCTCGATTGTGAAGGCCAGTAGATGAAATAGTGTTTAAAATAAAACGGAGCGTCTATTCAAATACATGTATCAACTAAAGATAACGTTTGAATTAAATAAAAATCATAATTATAAATATATCCTAATGAGAGAAAAAACAGATAGAGTAAAAACTGCAGTTCATAGCATTTGTTTTTTTTAAAAAGTGCTCAATACAAAGTAGAGCAAAATATCATTATAATATTTTTATTATAATAAATTACAATAAAAAATATTTTACACAAAAACTTTCATGTTTCAGTACTAAGATGGTACTTCTTCAGGCGATGGTAGATAACTAATGAAATAAAATTATTATCTTTTTCCTAATAATTATTTTTCATCACAAGTTATCTACCAGCAAAATTTCCTTAATTAAAATTTTCAGTACCTGATTTTCTTACCTAAATAATATGTTTTTCAGTTCCGATCAATGTTAACTCACAGTACAAAGTTTGAAGTGCCTGCATGTAAAGTATTTCAAATAAAGATTTTTTTTTTTTTTTTTTCAAAATCGGGTATGATATACCCATGGTTAGTTGTGGTATAACTTTAACTGATGGTTAGTGTTCTAGGGTTAAAGATACAGGGACTCTTAGCTTTTAATTTTTTTCGGCGCCCGGTGTTTCTCGATGCATGACCTGACCGTCTTTCCTCAACTTTTTATTTCTTTCGTTTATATTTTCATCGATATTGAATCAAAAATTGAAAAAAATATATTAAAAAGAATCATATTGCAACAAAAGCATTGAACCAAAAAATGCATGAAATTTACTTATTATTAAAATCCAGATAATCGTATGAAACCTTTTCGCCTATAGTGTATATTTTTGTTTGGTTGGTTGTTTTTTCATTGAAAAGTTTTCGACCGGAGATAATTGCAAAAATACAGGGTGACCCCAAAAAATGGGAATTTTTGAAGTGCTTATTGCAAGACATGAGCAAGTGGCAACACTGCGAGACAGTGGCCTTGAGTAAGTAAATATTTCGCCATTTAGAATTCAAGATGAAATTCACAGTATCCCAGCTGAGATGTTGCAGCAGTCAATGAGGAATCTCAACAGCAGATTTCAAGAATGCATTCGTACAAGAAGACGCCATCTACAGGACGTAATTTTTAAAAAATGAAAATTCCATCATTGTTTCTTAAATGGCATGTTTTAAGGTTTCAATTACTATGAATAAAATATTTTCCTTCCATCACTCTTGGTTTTTCATGGATTGTTAAAAAGTTCCCATTTTCTTGGGTCACCCTGTATAACCAAATGGTTAAACATCAGATTTTTTTTTTAAATCCTTCCTTACTTGGGTTGAGATCTTTTCAGCACTCCTTCGTTAATTATCATACGGAAAACCATTTGCCTAATTACCTGTACTAATTAATACAAGAAATACATAAAGCACATAATCTTGCCTAATTCAGAGGGTAATGGTTAGCTAGTCTGGTTGACTATTGAGCAATGAGCATGATCCTCGCTGTGTATCCAATACAAACAATTGAAATTAAATAAACAAACTAGGGCTGATATGTAAATGATTATTTTTGTAATCCATATCAACAGGTCATTTCCACTGATGAATTTCACTGTTTTACCGCCATTAAATTGTCAAAAGTTTAAATTACGATCACTCTCTGTTTTCTTTTCTTTTCTTTTCTTTTTCTTTTCTTTTCTTTTTTTTTTTTCCTTTTTCTTTTCTTTTCTTCCTGAATCTCTTTCCACTATTGTTTTCACTTTTCAAACATTAGCGCTGAAAAATGAAGCCTTTTTTATTGCGGTTATCACGTTAAACATTAATACAAATTTCTCGAACATTCAGGCCGGTAAATGTTGTTAATACTGTTTATTATAAAACAGAGCATTTACTTAAATATTTTTATCTATAAAAAGAACGTATAAACATAAAAAAATGTCTTAAAAAATAATTGTCGGCCTTTGTCCATTTCATAATGTATGACGTCATTAATATAAATGCCGATCAACAACGTAATCTGGGAGAGTATGATATGGCGATTTTTTCTGGAAATGTAAAAGAAAAAGTAAATAACAATATTTACCTTCCACTGTAATCAAATTTAATTGTTTACGACTTTACGAATGACTTGAGTGTTAGTGACTCTATTCTCAATCATTCCTAAGAAATCTTTTAAAATCAATGGCTTCAAGAAACGATGGATCTGGGAATTACATTTCATTGCTACGTCTTCAGGTTCGTTTGTCACAGTTTGGTAATAAAATTTACACAAATATTGTACTGAGTACATAAATGACAAATTGGAAAAATGTGCTATGATGTGTTTCGTCCAGAAATCAATCCTACATACAAAAAGTGAAAGCTTAGTAAAAAAAAAAGCAGGCTGGAAAGATGCAGAGCCACTAAACATTTATATTTAAATTTTGATGTCGATGCTGGACATCCACAAAAAAAATAGCAAATGAGGTGTGTGTGTGTGGGGGTAATATTTTAGTGGTTCATAGAGCCATTTCTCTTCAGAACGGTTATTACATCAAAGAATTGGAACTTCTACTGTAATCTACGCCACATTAAAATACTAAAACTCTAAAACTAACAGAAAACGAGAGTACGGAATGTAATTTAGCGTCCTTTTTACTCTACCGGATGTTTTGATTGTAATAGTTGAATAAAAACTGGGAAGGATATATAATGGAAGGATATGTAAAGGAAGGGTTATATATATATATATATATATATATATATATATATATATATATATATATATATATATATATATATTATAATTATTTATTATCATTTTTCATATAGACATAATAAACATTTTACTCACTACAAAGATGCGAATTCGTTCAGTGCATCTATATATATATATATATATATATATATATATACAAATCTTTTCATATCTATCTATGTAATTTTATATGTATTTTATATATATATATATATATATATATATATATATATATATATATATATATGTATGTATGTATGTATATAATCTGTCATATATATATATAAATATATAACCCTACATACATAAGAAAGACATTCGGATTACTAACACAAAAACAGAGAATGTCTCATATCGAAAATATTTAACATTGAAAAACATAAGGAAAAAATTAATTATGTTTAATAATATATGGAAATCTCCGCTTTTACCTGAAGACAGTCGCGAGACCAGAAACGCGGGTAGTAAAATTATGGAAAATAAAGCATAATATTTAAAAAAAAAAAAATAATCCACATTACAACCAAAAACGTTTGTGGCACCTCTCTTTTTTTTAATATATATATATATATATATATATATATATATATATATATATATATATATATATATATATATACATAAAGGAAAATTATATAAAGATTATAATTTATTATATACTTTAATTTAATATATTCGATAATAATAAGTTCGGACCATGGCTTCAATTCTGACCCATTATTCATTACACCACCTGCACATCCAAGCTTACAGAACTTGGTATTTTGAAGCGATCAACCATCCAGATACTGACCAGACCTGACGTTTTTTTTTTTTTTGTTTTTTTTTAACTTTGGTGATCGTACGGGAACCGCTGTTTCAACATGGTATGGCCGTAAAACAAGCTTAATCTCTAATCAGTTTTTTTAAATAAAAGATTATATATTTTTCAGAGGAAGATTCACATAAATGTCTGATAGGTATATACAGTAGTCAAGTACTGCCATCAATGATAAGTTCGGACCATGGCTTTAGTTCTCGTGAGAAAGATAATGTCTCTTGAAGACTTGCAATGCTTATTCCAGACGCGGCAAACTATGTTGTAAAGGGTTTGGCCCGTTTTGTACATTCTACTCGTGAGTTTCGATAGATACATGGCTTACAGCCATATCACGCTGAAACATCAGTCCTCATACGATCACCGAAGATAAGCAACATCAAGTCTGGTCAGTACCTAAATGGGTGACCACGTGGAAATAACAAGTGCTGCATACTTGGGCGTGCGGTTGGTGTAATTATTAACGACACGGAATTGTTAATCAGAGAACCAAGTTCCAGTTCCAATAGGGTTCGTTATATTCAAATAACCCCCAGTTATGGGTTAATTAGTAGGACTTGTATCAGTAAATCCTTATTATCGCCAATAAAATTTTTACATTCTAAAATATTTTCTTACTTTAAATAACCTGTAAAAAATTGATAAGCCATAAAAAAAAACAAATCAGTCATTTCATACTTACGTACTTATACAGACACCTTGATGTGGTGTAATGGTTAACAAGCTTGGCTCGCTAGAAAAATTACGACTGAGTAGTGAGTTCAATCCTCACTGGGCGCCCCTTACTTTAGGCCTTGTATATAATCAGTATATGCATCCCTAAGGTATTTACCGAAGCTAATGTGAGACTTCAATCTTGAAACTTTACCTCGATCTAAAGCTAGACAGTGCTCGCCATCACCTCGATATAGGCGGGGAGATTAACCCGGAAGACACTCAGGAAGTAATTGGGAGACTTGAAATGGTATTTGTTGTTCGTAACCAATAGGATTATCACAGGAGGTGAACTTGGTATTCACCACCATGGGTGCTTCCGTCGCGTCCGCGCTGTTCCATCTGCCGTCTCTCCTATTCACCGTCAAGTCTTGATAAAGAACCACAGGATGCCGTACTCTTCAGTCTGCGTGTGCAAGCGCTTCAATCAAATCATGCAGTTTTCCAGGGTTCTCCTCCTTGTGCTGTTCAGTAATGACCTTCATTAATTCTGGGATTATAGTTGACGATGTCCTAGGCCTGCTGGACAAAATTACCATCCTTTTGACGCCCGACTGTTTTAAATAATTCTTTCTTTTGACTAAAGATGGCACAATTCCTGATACGATTGACAGGCCACTTTAAAAAAAATTATCTTCAAGTCGCCGTGGCTGACGACTAGTTCCATAAACGCGATTGTTTTTTCATTTGTTGTGTTAGATTTGAAGATACCATGTTAATTTTCTTGTTAATGTTTCAAAGTGTATCTGCTATTGCTATTGTACCGGGTATTGAACTCACACTATTTGGTTAGATCCAGTGACAGGACTCAAATAATGTGAGTTCAATACCCGGTTAAGGCAGTGGAGAAATTGGAGAGGGAAATTAACAGGCGATAACTGATAACTGACATCCATTAGACATAGAACGTGGAACTAGAACAGTCTACCCCAGTGTTATGTAGTGGTTTCACAGTGGAGGCTTATATTTGTACTAAGTCGGTCCTAAAATAGGTTCGACGTACAAAACGTTAGGAACTTGATATAATAGGTAATGACGCGGTAATCTACTTGTGGTGGCTGATACTTTAATATCCGACTAACGGTCGTCCGACATCGACTGAGCAACTCTCTCCGCGACTGCTACTACTACTCCTACTTATTATAGGTGAGAGAGTCTATTAACTATAGAATAGGTGTGTTCCACTATAACACCCAGTGAGCGAAATAAAGGGTTCAGTTCGACATTTCAACCACCTAAATAGTGTACACAATACCTCATCTCAGAAATATAGACAGATACCTAAGTATTTATATACAAGAGCAGAAATGTTATTGTTGTTTCATCATTTTAAAATTTAAGTACGCTCATAAATATTGATCAGGTTAGCCGAAACGTCTCGGCAATATATGGAGGATGTTAAGTGATACAATGTCTAATAAACGAAAGTGAATAAATGATGCTTTTTTTCATCATTTACTTTTAATTTTCTTTTTTTCAGTCGAGGATAACGGATGTTTTGGTTCCAGTGTTTGTAAACCTTCTCTAAATTCGAAACCATATCATTTCATATTTTAAAAAGAACGAACGTTTGTTAAAAAAAAAAGTACGGATGTGCTTCATTGCCTCCGTCACATAATTTATATCCTTTGAACAGTATTTTCAATTCCGTGCCCTGACCTCCTTTGATAAAAGAAAACTCAGATTCGAATTTCCTTTTCACTTGTGTGTCTCTTCCCAGCACACACTCAAGCCGTCTTGAGGGTCGCTTTGCTTTTCCTAAGTGTTTAGATGAACAAATTTCGTGTTTGGAGGCAAATTGGTCGACTGGTGGACAAAACGTCTTTTCGTTGACAGTTGCTGAACTATTGAAAAGCCCGTTACCTCCCTGTTATTATGGAATTACAATGATCCTCTGCCTGGGGGTGGCTGCCACTCTACAATGCACACACACACTGACACACGCACCCTAAATATGTCATGATTATGTATATGTACTTCACACATAGATAGACGCAAAAATATTCTGCCAAGAACACGCGCATACATAATTGCGCCTACAGACACTGGCCGATATTCACACACGCATCCTGATAAAAGCGGACACACATGCGCCAACAGGCAGGAATATAAGCATTTAGTAATCTTAGCTTAGTCTGGTACAAAACCGCAAGTATAGAACACTCTGTTAGGAATGAGATCATTACAGAATAGTCTTTGAGACTTGCAGGTTAACCCTAGAACACTAACCCTCAATTAAAGTTACCCCACTACTAACCATCGGTATATCATACCCGATTTTGAAAATATCAAAAAAAATATAAATCTTTATGTGAAATATTTGACATGCAGGCTCTTCAAACTTTGTACTTTGAGTTAACATTAATAGGAACTGAAAAAACATATTATTTAGGTAAGAAAATCAGGTACTGAAAATTGTAATTAAAATAGGAAAATTTGCGCTGGGTACTATATAGCCATGTTTAGTGTTCTAGGGTTAAGTACTGTTGCAAGTCGATGTGAGAAGATAAACTGAAATTTCAAATTTTGCATTCGTGTCAACATCTGTCTTGAAATGATCCACTATATTTAATATTAATAAAAAGTTGTACCTTTATTCACTTCCAAATACTCACCTTAGGACCTAGCACACTTATTTACCTTTAGGGATTGCCATCAACATTTTATCTTGTTCTCATTAATTGTGTTAAATCACTTCCTCATTTCAACGGCGACAAATGAAACGTTGAGGTGAGTCAAAGCAGAATTGCCGAATTGATGACATATCTAGGTGATGCCTTATTTCGTTAAATAAATAAATAAGGCTGCTATGAAAATGACCTTCAATCTGTTGTTAACTGGGGCAAGAAATGGTTTTGACACCTCAAAAACGAAACTACTCATTTTTAATCGTCTGAGAGATGCTAACCTCCCAGACAGTAACTCGTTTTCCACTGACGTGAAATGGAAAGATTATATTGAATCAATTGCTAAATCTACTGCTAGGAAAGTTGGTTCACTCTGTCATGCTAGACAATTTTTCCCGCCCAAATCTATCTTATATATTTATAAGTCTACCATTCATTATTTACACTATTTATATTCGGACTATTGTCCTCATAATGTTTGTTGCTATCACAACGCTTCGGTTGTTATAATATCCGGCGTTCCTACAGAGAATTCTGAACTAAACCCTTTATTTGGTTCAGGCAGTGTGTACTTGCACTTAATGGAACAAAAGAAGAGTAATCAGGAGAACTCTAGATAGCGATTGACATTGTATTTAAATTGTTGCAGATTAAAGTTGTCTAGGAAGTATGGAGCCGAAAGGGAGTTCCACGTGCGAGAAGAGCGAGAAAAGAAATTGTTAGCATAGACTTTACGGTTACATCAGCTGTAAATTGATGAGATCTCGAAGCCAGTATAGTGCTGCAATATTCTAAGCATGGACGAATGGTAGACTTATCGATATGTAAGATAGATTCTGGACACAGTGAACTAACTTTCTTAATAGTTGAACTTTATCTGTTTTAAATTCCCCAGAAAGTAGCTATTTCTCATTTTCTCGGACAAATCTTCAAATGTCATCGCTTCGAACTCACACAAATTGACATTTATATTTCTAACGTTGTCATTAATTCTTCTTTTATGTAAAGATCTTTTATGATTTTTATTTTCATGCCATTATGAGAAGCCATCTTGTTTAACCCGTCATTAGAACAGCGGACTTTTGTCACACCATTAATACCGTCGGGTTTCCGAACTCTCCATTTAACATATTATAGATACCAGCCGAAAATGTCTTGCAAACATTTTTATTTGAAATTGTAAACTTTTTCGATTTCACTGAAAGAGACGTTAAACACTTCTATATTCCCTTCTTTCTTTCTTTCATTTTCTCACTGAAACCAAGTAGCGTCTCTTTTATTTCAATCCCGTCTTTTCACGCGCTCAAAAAGGAATAGTCCGTTATTTATGAGGTATTGACAGGACGTAACGGTCAGGCAAATTAACTAAGGAACTAACGAAGGGAGGGAGAGACATCGGAATTATAATACAAATATTATTTAGTTGTTGTTATATATTGTTTTGAGTGATTTTTCTAAGCTTTATAAGAAAAAGAAAAATAAAAAAAAAACGGTTTTATTTCGAAAAGTTGAATTAAAACACCAATAAAAATAAAATTGTAAGTTTCAAAAATTAAAATATACAAAAATAGGTTTTATTTTATTTTTAATTTATGATCCATATGATTTCTTTTCAATCGTTTTTTCACATTCCAAACAAGGAACAAAGAAGGTTACTCTGATCTTTGTATCCGTTTTTACCACAATTACTAAAATCTTTTCTTTACTTTACGGTCTTATGCTTTTTAATTCATACAAATATTAGGACAAAAAACAGAAAATCCTTGTAGTAACTGGACAGAGATATTCCGAAACTTGACAAATCATAAAAATTTGACTTACGAACTTGTAAATATTAAGGGAAAATATTTTATAGGATGTACAATAAACCTAACAATTTAAATTTAACGTTAATAAAAAGTTGTCAATGCGCTTTAAATGAATCCATTACTAAAATCATCTTATTAAAATAACAGTCACTAGAAAGACCCAAATTAACAAAAATTGAGATTTATTCGGCTTTTGCTTCCCCTGACAGACAACGTGTTTATTAATAAACATCAACAAAACGTAATCTAATTGTTTTGTGTCTAATTGTCACTGATAGCTAAAAA